TGTCTCCCTCTCTCTCTGTCCCTCCCCTGCTCACACTCTATCTCCAACTCTTTCTCAAAAATAACTATTAAAAAATGTAAAAAAAATTTTTTTTGGCACTCTGGTCCAACAAAAGGTTTTCTTTCTATTCCAGATCTCCCCCTGAAGCCCTGCCAAGTGCCCTGATCATTCTTTCACCTGTCCGTAATTCAGAGCAGCTACCAGACCTACACTATGCTGGTGCTCTGTTCCCATGATCTTGGTCACCTCTTTCTTCTCCATGCGTTGAGGCTAGAACCTCCCAATGATAATATGGCAATGTCAAGTTCAGGGACACCTTGTACTTGTGAAAGCTTCACGTGGCTATTCACTTGCCCACTCATTTACCGTAGCCAGGAGCCTGGGTTTGAATGCCGGCTCTGCCACTTTCTAGCTGCGCAATCCTGGGCAAGTTACTTCACCTTTCTTTTCTCCTTTCTTTCTTTTTCTAATGTTTACTTAATTTTGAGACAGAGAGAGACAGAGCGTGAGCAGGGGAGAGGCAGAGAGAGAGGGAGACACAGAATCCGAAGCAGGCTCCAGGCTCTGAGCTGTCAGCACAGAGTCCAACGCGGGGCTTGAATTCGCGAATCACGAGATCACGACCTGAACCAAAGTGGGACGCTTAACCTACTGAGCCACCCAGACGCCCCACATTACTTCTCCTTTCTGAGCCTCAGTTTGTTCAGCTGTGATTATAGTAAACATTTCATCAGAGAGCATTGAATGAGACCATGAAAGTAAAACCCTCACCATGGCAGGTGGTATGAGAGAACATGCTCAACCGGTCCTAGCTGATTCTATGCTTAGTGCCAAGCTGATGCCCCCTGGTTCACTGAGGAGCTTTCCTATTCATTCATTTATCAGAAGTATACTTGAGCACCTGCAACCTGCCAGCTATGGTGGTGGGGCTAGAAATGATGAGTGGAGACCCCTATGCTCCAGGGGCGTAGATAGCAGGGGAGGGGCTTATAAACACAGCATGGTGAGGGGATGTCTGGGAAATTCTCTTCAGGGTCCTGTTTGAGAATAGTCTTGAAGGAAAAGTGCTTGTGTTCTAGGTGGACACAGGGAGAAGGGCTTTCTAAGCTGGGCACACGTGGGGGAGGAAGAGAAATCATGGTGGTGCTTGTGGTTTTGGAGAAGAGGGGGATCCAGGCACCAGGAGGCTGCAGGGGGCTGGGACACCCCACCTCGAAGGGTCTCGTTTGTCATTCCAAAGGGGCCGGACTTGATCCTGAGGGCCGCATAGAGGCTGTGGGGAGACTTGCTTCTGGGGATGGCTCAGGGGGTTGAGACGGCGTGTCCATGAGAGATGAGGGAAGTTACCCAAGAGCAGCTGTGGGGCGTGTTGGGGGGGGGGGGAAGACAAGATGACCATCTGTCCTGGCCTCTCTGTCTTCTTTTCCAGCCTGCTCTCTCTTCTTTTCCAGGTTGCCTTCTGGCACTCGGTCTGGAGTGAGAAGTTGGCTCAGGGCCCAATACTAGGCAAAAATGCTAAGTAATGTGGAAACCTCTCTCCTCATCCCTCCAGTCACGCCCCTGAGCACGGATAGGTTCAGCCTTCCCTTGGTTCCTGGACAGGAAATGTCCAGAGAATTCAGGAGACACAATTCCCAGGTGGGAAAAGGGGTCTAGGTCAAGGTGTCTCAAGTGCGGCCCCAGCCTCTCCTTTTCCCCCTGGATTATTCTCTCCCAGGCTATTCTGCACCCACCACACTGCTCTTGTTACAGGTGCAGGGACACAAAGCCCTCTCCGTGGCTTCTCTAACACAGCCGAGATGGGCTGGTTAGAAAAGGACTCACTCAGGTCCTAAGGGAGGATGAAAGGGGTAAAGATCAGGTTTCCAGCTCTAGCTGTGGAATCCATCCCCAAAACCTTGCTCCGCTTTCTGTGGCTGGATCCGTGGCTCAGGTACTTTCCTGGCCTCTGCCATCTTCTCCCTCCCCCAGCTTCTGGCTCATAATGACACAGCCCCCCTCACCCCACTCTCTCTAAATGTGGAAGCTGTCTGTTGCCTGACCAGCTCTCGAACGTGGAGCGAGGCAGACCTGGGTGGCCAAGCACCCCCCTGGAAACCGCTCCCTTACTATACATTCGCCCCAACGTAGCAATATGACTGGTCCCTACCCCAGAGTGTCTTGCTCTCACATATTGGCTGTTTGGTCCTACCGGGTGGCAAGGGGCCAGCAGAGAGGGTACTTTTTTTTTTTTTTT